GCCCCTTTGAATACACTCTTCGCCTCTTCACCATTCCTGCTCATCGCATGACAAACAAGCTCCAGTTCACTGGGTCAAAAGCGCCAGTGCAAAAAAGCCATCGGCGACCACGGATCCAAATTGAGGTTAAGCAGTGTTCGCGTTTGTGATCACGGCGGTTAGTTGTGAGTGGAGATCAGGCGGCTTGTCGAAGAGAGTTTCCGGCCTCTGGCCTGGTATGTGGTGAAGGTCGCCCTTCCGCCCACGCAGCTTGTGTTTGTACCTTAGGAAATATGTTGTATTGGTAGAAACGCACAAACGTTTTTGACTCGGCTCAGCGTTCCGCAACAGCTTTCCCGCCAGAATCGAATGACGCTAATTCGCACGACCTAGAATTTTGACTCACTGACAATGACGACTAACAATTAGCTAAGCATGTGACATAAGGCAAATCCAAAAAACGTCAGCTCCTTTGAATTCAGCTGCGTTGGGGAAGCAAACGACTGACAAACGCAGTCTGATCGCCCTTAAAAAGGGACGTTTCTAGGTGCTACGGTCCAACATAATTCCTGAAAGCAGCGCGAAACTTTCTGTTCAATATCGCTTTGTGGATGACCCCACCATTCGGTCACTGACGCTAAACGAAGAACTAAAAATTAATGGAAAGTTAATCGACCTCTCATTCTCTGTCACACAGAGGCTATGTGTTGTTCGACGAAGCTGACTACGGTTTTTTCTTCTAGAACTGCTTACGTAATATGCATTTTGACAACTGCCGCAACAATCGATCATTAAATTGTCATAGCGGTGATTGGAGTTGAATACCATTGCATACGAGGAGAAGAGTAATTGCTCGGAAACTCGGCGGTTGCTGTATTCTGGGGAGTGCGCAATCCATGTCCAGAAGTACGTACTCCTCCGGGGAAAAGGAGGTCTGTCTGTCAGCATCCGTCTTCTTCAAGTTAATGCTCAAGCAACACGTTTTGCAGTCCTATGTCATAGACGCGCCCCACATGCCAACGTGCGCGAAAGATTTCACGGGCGATATAGCTTCCGGTTTCAGTTATTTCACATACGTGTTAATGTACACCTGTTTATATGGCGCCACCTCTCCACATGGTTAGGAAGATTGCTACGTTGATAGGAGAAAGGAAATTCGCAAAAGAGCGTTCGGTCGCCGTCCAAAATGATTGGAAGATTCCATCTTTGACCTACGGAGGCCACTTCGAAAAGAAACGCCCATATGAGATTAAAATGAACGAACGATTGTGCCTGGCACAATCAGTCTGACTGCCGGATACCGGTCGAGCCAGGCATCAAAGGCAAATGGGAATATGAACAAATCAAATATAGGTTTCTGGGAGAAAGAACGCCCGGAGGTCTTTAAAATGAAACGTACACCACTTATGGATGAGTTGGCGTTGCTTAAGGTTTCACTGTCTTTAATAGCGTTGCGATGAACGACTGCAGTCTAGCCAAAACGTTGACAGAACCATTGTAGAGCCTCTTATATGCCATTCTATAAAAAATCATTATAGAACCCTTCTAACACCGCTGTTTCAATAACATTTCTGAAGTGATCTCGAAAATCAGGAAAACGCGTGCCAATCACAACAGTTTCTTTTCTCCGTGTTTCCATCAGACCAATCTTGTCGCATGAATTAGAACCGACTACTGACTACTGTCGCGAAAACACGGACGTCGGCTGAACAGACAGCAGCAGCGCTGGTCATGACCCGTTCTGAGGATCAATCAGTCTCGAGACTGCATCTGAGAAGGGCAAGAACGAGTTTTTTACATTATCCGATTTTACGAACACATTTCAGGTGCGTAATGACAGAGGACTGGCATCGTGCGATGTTGTTGTGACCTAACATTGGAACCTGAACACCTGAACATTGACGCACGGCAAAGGGTCAAACGCCCGGATATCACGTTGCAGAGGAAACTGAACGATGATCTGCTCTGTTGTCAATGAGGTATATTTCCTTCGTTGTTGCAGTTAATGCCTCATCCTCATCTCAGACCAAAATATGGCGGTGTTGCTCCTAGACAACGAACAGAATCGGTCAAGAATTCAAGAATGGCTACTGATGTAACATGAGCAGTTGTAAGTGAAACCCACAATACATGTATAAATAGCACATACGTTGTAGTACCATCAACTGGGTTGACGTTAGAAATGTAAAACACTGATGTCGAGAAGGATTAGATGGTCACTTATCCGAAAAGGTCTCAGGAATCGGCATTCCTGAAACGAAGGCGGAACTGCGATGGACAGTATATTCCTGAACACCACAGCCGGGAACGCCTACGATAAATTTTAAAACAATCAGCAACCGAAGATTTCTTATCCTATGTCATATCAGGTGATTCTGTAAAGAAGAAGAGTACTGTCATTTCAAACATGGACAGAATAACCAGCATTAATAACCGCAGAATCAGTCAGAATGAAACTTTTCGTCACGTCCATGTACCCTGAATGAGCAATAATGTTTCAGTAGTTGATAATCACGTCATATGTTCGTTCATATCGGAAATTATGGCAGAAACTTAACCTTTGGCCCCGCTATATGGGAGAGCGATTCGTTAAGTGTGGGATCAGCTGTAGGTACCCTCAGTGTTTTGTTCATTTGTTTCTTTTTCGTTCATCCACGTGGAGCAATCTACCGGATCTGTCAGCTTTCTCTTGAAGGGAGTAACGAAATGCTAATCTGCATTTCGACGCCTAATCTCCGGGGATGGTACGCAGGGAAGACAGTGATTTGGATTACACGTGATGATGCTGCCGGCAACTCACGACAGAAAACGGGTAGAGGCATTTGCGTAGAACATTCGAGAAGCGCCTTGGAACTCAAACTGAGATAAGCAAATGTAGGCGATGTAGAAAATCTCATTATGGTAGCGTCGTCTAGTTCTGAACCGTCGAATTAATGCGCTTCTGCGCTCTGCGTCACCATGCAACGAATGAATCGCTTCTTTGCTTTGAATTCTAAGGTTTGATTATGTAATATTCATATTTTTACTCTATTAAAAGTAAGCTAATATTTTGATCCTCCCATGACTTTCTGGGACTGAATTTTGTTGCATGGACGAGGGTGTAGTATCTCTCGACTGCTGAACTGCTAATACAAACAGGTAAATGATCGCTCATTAAATATATGCTTTCATTGTAGAATAATGATCAGCAACTGGCGCTGAAAATTTTCGGCTTAAAATCCCATTGGTTGAAACCACAGACGCAAACCCGATCATCGAAACTCAGCAGGAGCAAAAGCTTCTTAAATACGTAAGTAACTATATTTTTGTCCATGTTATGTTTATATAACTTGCGGTGTTCGTCACCATTATCGTTTTTGCATTTTATGGTGAAACTTGTTTACTTTCTGTGAAAAGAGGGCGTTTCTGCCGTAATTGAGTTTTTACGTTTCAAACTGAGTCATTAAAGTTTTTCATCATCATCATCATCATCATCTTCCATCGCCGCTTCTCCTTTCGGGTCGCGGAGGCAGACGCGT